ATATATCATACCAATATATCAGACCATTGTGGAAAACAGAAATTTTAATTAATAATTCTAATAATACAATTACAACTTGTAAAAATGTATTTTTGACAACATGCCCATACGGCAATAAGAGCATAATTCATGAAACAGCAAAAATATAAAAAGTAACATATCAATATATCAAATCATTGTGGCTAACAGAAATTGTAATTAATAACACAGTTATAATATGTAAAGCATGTTACTGCATTACACTGATCTGTTGCAAATATTCAGTGTTACACTGATGTGCTGCAAATACTCAGGGTCTCTAAACTTTGTCTACAGAATGTGTAAATCAAATGCAGTCACTGTATCCTGACCAACCAAACATTGGAGCAAGTGATCCTTTCTTTATCAGTGTGTGCTGTGCAACCATGTAATAGCTGAACATGAGTGGAGGGTGGAAAGATTCCCTTTCAAAGCAACATCTCCCTCATCATCGGCTAAGTCCAGCCTGAGGCCTCCAGGTCTCCTGAGATGCTCCACACAACTTCAAAGACAACTTTCCCCTCATTTCTACACAAAGAACTTTAGGAATTAATGAGAAACTGTTTCAAAGCTGACAGAGCTATAATGTAGCTTGAGTGCGTCAAGAGTGACACAGATTTGCTTTTTTTCACAATGCTTCATTCACTCAAGTCGCACATAAACACCGAACAGTCACTCAGAAAAATAACCATCTGATTGATACACATTTCATGATGCATTACAAGAGTTCACGTCAACTTTTCAACTTTTTGCAGAGATAGAAATCCCCCTTTACTCTCTGTGTTGTTTCCTGCCTGAAGAGACTATAAAGGCGACACTCTCAAAGGAGGTTTGATTATTTAATGGGGAAAATTTAGGAGGTGCGTTGCAAAGGGACCTTGTAGATGCATTGATGTGCGAAAAAAAAAAGAGAGCGAGACAGAAGCTCAAGGTGCCTGGAAAATGGGGGGAAAACAACTGCGATGGTTTTGCAGTGAACTGATGAACATGGGTGAACTTTCATGCTTTTAAAAAACACTGAAACAAGGCCTTTGAGTTAAATATACTCATGTAACTTTTATATCAAGGTAAGTACATGCAAAAGCTTCTTTTAAGTGCTACATTGAAAGATGATCCTTTCAGAGTGATAGACAGTGGATGCAATGCAATTCAGCAGACCTACCGCAGGTATACAAACACACTTGAAGCAAACTGGTATGAAGGGTTTTACTCTAGGACACAGTGGAAAGTTTCTGGCCTAGAGCTGATCCGTGCTGGTCGCTGAGGAATCGTCACATGTGGTTGCCGCAAGCCCGCCGGACGCTCCTTCGTCAGATCCTCCGGCCACGCCATTCTCAAGCCCCCGGCCGCCTCCACTCACTCTAGGCCACAAGTCGTAATTATGTCCCCACTGGATGCCACAAATGCCTCGTTTATAATGGGTTTTAATGTTTTCGTCTCGTAGCTCCGGCCGGACAGGGCATCACAATATGGTAAGAGGAGCAACATTTCTATCCATTCATTAAAAACATTCATGAATGTATTTATATCAGGGATGGACAACTGGCGGCCCGCAGGCCATGTGGTCACTAGTTTCCAGCAGCTCCCCTATTAATTTCAGCGTAGTAGGACGTGCACTCTAATGTAAACATTTACTAACATTAGCAAATAATAAATGAAAACCTGACCATGAAAAAAGTATTTTCAAGTCAAGATGGTAAACAGATTATCTTTTTTACCAAGTTCAAGGGGATACCCATATGTTTGGAAATCTGTATTTTATTTAAATCGCTATCACACCACTGCTCACAAACAACGGGGACACCAGAGTTGCACTTGCCTCAAATTTCAAAAGGTAAAATTCATAGTCAACAAAAGCTTTTTGGCAAATGCATGACAGAAATGTTTGCACTGGACTATGTTCTTATTAGGGTTTCCGCGGGTCCTTAAAACGTCTTCAGTTAAATTGTTTACATTTAAGGCCATGCAAACTCTTAAATGGTACAAAAAGTCTAAATTATAAGAGGTCTTTGGGGACGGAAAGACAAGAATTGCTATATGGATTAATATGACGACTAAACTTGAGCGCTGCATGTCAGTTTTGTGTACTGCGGTTACCGGGGAAACCACTATATGTGCAGTTTCGAAAGCGCCTCCTGCTGGCAGAGAACGAATTTGCTTTTTCAATAAGCCCATCTGCTATTTTTGCTACATATTTTTAAATGTCAACCAGTGGATCAACAAAAAGCGAATGCATTATAAAAATCTAAACAATTAAGACACTAAGATATATTTATATGTTATTTAATATAATAATTGTTTAAATTAATATAATAATTGATACTTTTGACT